TTAAAGATATTCTAGACTCGAATGAAATATTTGGAGGAAAAGTTGTTGTATTTGGAGGCGATTTTAGACAAGTATTGCCAGTCGTTCGTAGAGGAGGTAAGACTGAAACAAATGACGCTTGTTTAGTTAATTCACCGCTTTGGCCACATTTAGAAAAAATTGAACTGACAGAAAACATGCGAGCTAAATTAGACCCTGTCTTTTCAAAATATTTGTTAAGGGTTGGTAATGGAGTCGAGCCAACAGATTCAAATGATTTAATTCGAATCCCTGCATTTATAAACACATTATCTATGGATGATATTAATGATATTGATAAACTAATTAATGTTGTTTACCCAGACTTGTGTCAATTGACTAATGAGGTCCTTCCAATTAATCGTGCAATATTAAGTACAAGAAATAATTTTGTTGATGAAGTGAATAATGTACTGATAGAAAAATTTCCAGGTGAACCAATTGAATATTTCAGTTTTGATGAGACTCGAAATCCTGCTCATAGAGGTCAATATGAGGATATTATTAATTCATTAACACCAAGTGGTATGCCACCTCACAAATTAGTCTTGAAAAAAAACTGTCCAATAGTATTACTCCATAATTTAGATCCAACAGAGGGGTTATGTAATGGTACAAGGCTTAGGTGTAAAAATTTAACTAAAAATATTATACACGCAGAGATAGTTGTCGGTGACTTTGCAGGCAAAGAAGTTTTTATACACAAAATACCCTTGGAACCACCAAATGATCAACAATATCCAGTACCTTATATTCGAACCCAATTTCCTGTACGCTTATCATTTGCAATGACAATCAACAAAGCACAAGGACAAACTTTAGATTTAGTTGGTATTTATCTGAAAGAACCAGTCTTCTCACATGGACAATTATATGTAGCTCTATCACGCGCAAGACTGTCATCTAATGTTACAATTCTTATGAAACCACCATATTTTGACAAGAAAAAGGTTCGATATACGAAAAATATTGTTTATCAGGAGATCTTGGATGCAGCCAAGCAATAGATTATACATTTCTGCTTCTATTTGTAAAGCTAAATGTTTATTATTTGTATGCATTAGTTATAATTTTTTGGAGAATGTTTACAACATTAATTGATATTTTCTCACTGACTCTTTTTTTATTTTTTTTTTCTTTTCTTCCTATGTCCTTTCTTTATTCTTTCTTTTACCCAAAAAAATATATTCGGTTAATTCCTTTTCCTATATTTTGCACCTTTTCATTGTCACACAGGATGTCTCGAAAGTATCTCCACATCAATCAGATTAATGTTGACACAGAAGGATGGACAGTCATAACTCAAGTTGTTGAAAAAAGCCACGTTCAGATTGGTCGTCACGGAAAAAGAGTGCCATACCGAAAATATGTTCTCACAGATTCACAGGTCGATTTATTATATTACTATCGCATTGTTTTAATTAAATATTTAAAAAAACTAGCTTCAGATGCATACATAGTTGTATACATATTCTATAAAAATTATGTTAACATTCCTAATGGTGAAAAAATGATATAATTAATGTAGGGAACAATCGTGTCTGCAACTGTTTATGGATCTGCTCAAATTGAGTTCTGGGATGAACGCATCACACAGTACAAAAGATACTACGTATCTGGGGCAGGTGTTCAACCAGCAAATCCGCTATATCAAATCAGTGATTATGCTTTTACCTGGACAATACAAAAAGGCACCCTGGTGGAAGAATATCCAGAAAAATTACCTCCACAGCTCCCTTGCAAAATACATCTGCAGGAGTACGGAAAGCTAAGGATGTTTGCAGAGACAGAAACTTTACAAAGTAAGCCTTATCTTTTTATTAACAGGCATGAACATAAACGAGAACAAAAAGACATTATACACCATTAACACATTGTATATAAATAACCATTAATTCAAAAATAATCGTTCACATACAACTTTACAGTGAAGTACCATTACTCCTTCATTTCTACAGATGTAATGGGTGTTGTTGTTCATGCGCTGCCACGCAAAGATGTTTCCTCAAAATCAAACACTAGAGATCTTGTCATCGTTAATGCAGAGTGAGATGAATACATCTTCTGCAGTTAATTTACTCCAGCATAGAATGTACAACTAAATTTAATCTTTGCATATCCAATTTCTTTCAACAGAAACAGACCTATTGTTTTCACATTATGGAATGAATTTGCGAGAGAAGAAGGACAACAATTAGCAAGCACATTGGCCGCTGGTAACATAATTGTTGCAACAAGGGTCAGAGTAACAACTTTTAATCGTAAGTCTTTGCTAATTGTATCAATATTATTTCAAATCTTATCATATCAATCTGTACACATGCACATTATTTAAAATATATCCAATATGCAGTCCTGCAGTGACAACAACTCACTTAGGAACAATAATGATTAATCCTCCGATGGCAGAGACTGTTGTTCTTAAGCAATGGTAATAAATCACAGCTATTCTGTTACATATAAATTTTA